TTATCAGTCTCTGACGTATATTAATTTTACACTTTCCGGATCTGTTTTTCAGGTAAATTCTTTTTATTACATTGGCAACTGCTGTTTCTGACTTTTTACCTTATTTAAACTTTAATCCATACTGTCTTTGATTCTTCAGACTGATGAATATTGCACTAGTTTCTAAGAGCTGACGACATGCCGGAAAAAGTTGGCAACAAATACAGTATTTACAAGAGTATCACAGGCAGTGGTCTCAGTTTTGTCTCCGATAGCCGCGCATGGAAGGTACTGGGCACTCTTTCGTCGCTGTTAAACTACTGCACTAACGCAGTGACGATGAAGACGATTATAAAGGTTGGTAGCACGCGCTGCTCGATCGACTGGAACGTCATCTATTAAATCTAGCATGCACAGACGACAACGCGCATGTAAAGTCAGAAAAACTTCAGAAAGTATTAAAAGCTTCATACACAGCGACCGCCAGGAACAGAGTAGGACGGAAACTATACAAAATTCCTTTGTGGTACCTAGAGAATTTGATCAACACGAAGATTTAAGGGGGAAAATGAGCACATGTCCGTAACTCTATTACCTGCGACCGATGAACTCTAACAACTAAGCGTTAAAACAAATGTTCGATAAAGGATCAAGAAGGCTGAAAATGCTGCACTACAAAGAGACTTCAAGCGTCTGACAGTTCTAAGTGCACCGGAAAAAAGCTCGAAAAGACTAAGATGCAGGCCGAAAAAGTTGAAGTTGAAGTCAATTAGAAAAGAGCCGACAGCGGTTGAGTTAGCATAAGGACTGACTTGCTACGTGCAAAACAGGAAGTATTGACAAGAGAAGCCAAGGAAATGGGATGTCTTAATTAGACATAAGTAAGATGTTGCATAGAATAAGTAAGGTTAAGATAAGAGACAGTGAAATACGTGAACTCTACAAAATGGATCACATATACGGGGACGCTGTTACTGTAGTAGTGATTTATATTATAATGGCTCTAACAAACAAACCTTCAGGAGAATGAATAGCTCCTGAAATCAGTGGGCAGACTCAGAAACAAACTAAGAAAAAGATTCACCGTCGTCTCCCAGAATTCCAGCTGTCCACCTAACGCAATCGGATTTAGAGTGTTCAAGTTCTTTTGCGCCGTCGAATCTTTAGGTTGCTCAGCTGCTGGTTTTTCTGTAACAAACAACGGCTAAAGTCAGTAAAGAAAAGATGAACGCTCGTCGCAGCCCTTACCGCTCTTGCCGTCACCACTACGTCGTCTTATTGAATATCCCCAAACTTCATCGCCATAAATTGCGTCGGCATCGATTATGACACTCGGCTGATCGCCCTGCAATCCCGTGTCTAGCAGCGATATTAGTTCTTCTGCAAAGAGTTGTACTACTACATGCAAAACGTCTATTCACAACGTCAAAAGAAAGGAAAATAGGGCCTACTTCAAAATATTCATTTTAAACAGAAGCTCGAAATTTCTTATGCCGTCATAATCGATTTGTTACATGAAAATTTAAGAAATTCGAACTGAACCATCGTTAGGAGTATCGATGACAGGCGTTTACATTAACCATTTAGAATCTACTCTTTCCCACATATGGTAATACTATCAGTGAGTTTTAGTGCTGTAAGTAGTTATACTAGCATCACTTCAGTCAACCTTTCTTTCGTCAATGAAGTCAATACCTCCTAAAGTCAAACATGTGAAACTCAGAGCTGCGCAGACGCTGAGGAATCACTCGCTTGTCTCATTGAGTCGTTATACTAGACAAGTACCGCGGTTAGTGTGATTCTACTGAGCTTTCGTGTTGTCTGCCGTGCTTTCGAGCTCTCAGGAACACGGCTAATGAAGAGTCGAAACGTCAAAGGCAAACTTATCTTTAAGAATCATAACAAATTAGACTCCTATTGTGCGCTTTCTGAACCACCGCATTGAAAATCATCGTCGATTCGTAAGGAGTAACATTCAAACAGCTATTTACATATGATATTAATCAGCAGATCTTCCCTAAATTATTGCTGTTTATAACACTGTGACAAACTCCTTTTAGAAAACTGTGGTACAGTTTTGTTCTTACCAAGTAGTCACTTCATATCCGTCACTCATCGTAAAAACTCCGGTGAGCTAAGCCTTTCGATCGCGACTGTCGTCTTTGGCTGCGTTAAGCATTAATGAAAAGGTCTACCTTCCAAAACCAGTAACCGATACATTGAATTTTAATTGAATTTTAACGGGAAGAACAAGTTTCTAGCAAGATGCTTACTACCCTTAGCTTCAAACAGTTGTAACCCGTTTTTATTCTGCTTGCTGTATTAATATTTATTTCATGGAGCTTGATGAACTCTGCAATTTCCAAAGTTAGTTTAATGAACCTTATGTTCATAAACCACTGAAAGAAACTGCGACTAAAGAAATACGACGTAAGCGTCTCCGTCAAAAATCAAACCATTAATAACCAGCTTATTTCAGTTCTACGATGACTCCGTGTGCGACTACCTTGTTATCATTGTTTCAACCAATAACCTACAAATTCATGCGATATACAGAACAACGATGCATTATCGAGAACAATGTTAACATTTGTGAGACATTAGGCGGCACCTTTGGCAAAAAACATTTCGCATTGTCATCTTATGCCAGAACAGATTCTTACCTGGCAAATATGAGTCACCGGTGTCGTCAAAATCTTCCGTTTCATCGTCATCACGGCTCAGAAGGTTATTCACAGCCTGATTGACATCGCAATTCTGAACATTCAATTGTTACGCAAATGGTACAAATAAACAATACGCATATCCATCACAAAACCTCGTCTGTATGCATATTTACACGTTATCTAACTAGGGGCGTGCAAAATGATGTCAATGGCTCACTTAAATGGCTCCCATTGTAATTAAGGATAAGAAAACGGTGCCACAACGCCGTGTAAACCGTCCAACCGAATAATGTGCTTATTCACACATTCTGCACGAATGAACCCATACCACTAATGTGCTGAAAATATCTAAAAATGCAGCAGCTGCTGAAACATTATTGATGACGAGCAAGTAACGCTAAATGCACAGCAATTGCTAACCTAAGAGGTTAAGACGATGACCATCACATCAGCTTGTCAGGTGACTGGTACGCATTCCATCAGTAAACTGTTCATTCTTTCTTAAGTGCCAAACGCCCATCGTCATTGTTAACGATACCTATTGTAACTTTATCCTATTTCGAGATTCAGTATAAATTTGCAGCATATGTCAATTATGACCATGTCGAATTATGTATTAGCTATTAATTAAGTTTAAGCGCTGCAACAGAGAGGGAGGGCGCAGTAGTGCTAAGAGAAACGCGACGAAAGAAACTTTGCCCAAAAGGGAAACTTAAGGTTCGAGGCGTTACCAGGGTAATAAAAATAAGGTAGAAACTCATAATTCGTAACACTTAAGTGAACAAAATTCAAAAAAAATTCAAACGCGTGCACGCTAAAGAATAAATAACTGATAAACATAAATAAATATAGGACAAAGAAATAACGAGAACAACATTAATAAATGACAAATTTACGGTGCAGTTGGGTTATGCCGTATAAACCAGCATTTGACATCACACGCACATTTATTTACAGCAGAAATAAATCGACCTTCCATTATGGACGATTCAACAAGAAAATTCGAATTTAAGATGAAAATAAAAACATTTAGAATGCGCAGCTTATCTATAATAAGATGTCGCTTCAACGGTTCTAAATACAGGGAAATTAATGTTTCAGAAACTATAATGGTTATCCCTGGGGCAAAAGAAACAATTACTTTTTCTACAGTACAACAGAAAGCTAAGTTGTTTTATGAAGTTAAGAAAACACAAAAAATCTGATATTTATTTTCAAAAAAGGAAACTAGGATTCGAAAGCCTCAGAAGAACAACGATATCGCACACTCAGTTACATCAGTCTGCTGCAACCTTTTTAGAGTGGCTTTAGCTGACTACTTAAAAAAACGGTAATCCAATCTTCCACTGGAAAGACATACTTCTACAAAAGAAATCTCGTAGCAAATCTCTAAGGAAAATGTGCGCGGCAAGAAGTTTAATTAGCAGAAATGTAAGAAAGAGAAAAAGAATCCTTCCATCAACTGCGTACAGAGAAATGACCGAATGACGAGTTGAAGACATTGGATCGGCAACAGGTGTTTACACAAAAGATTCTCAAAGGTGAGCCAACACAAAATGTCTTCACAATGAAGAGATCCATTTCCAATTCGTTTTAGATTAATGTAAACATATCTGGATATTTTGGATAAGGGAAGAATGCAATAGGAATTGACGCAGAAGTGGTAATGGACGTAAAAGCAATGACGACTGACAATCTTAAAAAGAGAAAACGCTGAATAAGGCAGCTGTTACTGGTAATGTTCCTGAAGAAGCTGAGAGAAAGAAGCGACTGCATCATAAGAACGAACCTTCCTTCAATGGAAGAAGTTCTGTGAACTGCAGGAACATTTTGGTTGAAATAAATGATACAAATATCCGAATCCGGGCCCGCTGTTCAAATGCAGATTCATGGTTGAGGACACCAAACAACGCAAACGTTAACAGCCTACTGCGCAGCAAAACGTAGACCATATCATTTTAGCTTAAAGTAAAACTAATACTTTTGCTTGATTTATTATCAAATGCATGCATATCTACACATGACTACCCCTTACCCGGTTCCGCAGCGCATGGCACGGTTCCCTGCTGTTAACTGCCAATGAAGCCATTTATCCTACCTAGAAACTGAGTTAGGAGGAATTTGGCGTATATCAACATTATGGGGGATATTTTTCATGTATATTAATGATACTGTCAAGAAGGGTAATCTGTCCATACTAGCAAACACTGAAACTAATACGCAATTCAGTCCATGTCGAGTTTATTGCTCCCAAATCTAAACCTCTGCACTGTCTTGCAGGTTTAGGTTTACACTCAGTTTCAGGCAGAAATGAAATAAAACGGCAAATTATCGACCTTGACTCAACAACGAATCATACCGGTATGGACTGATGACCACTTTAGAGGCAACATATACATAGCAGAAGACTAGAAGAGAAACTGCACTACCAAAGAATCAGAGTTCAGAAGTAGATATAGTGCGATGAATCAATTTCAGGTACTACATCAAGTGATTTAGATGTGCAAGGAGTATCTGCCGCTTCTGTAACAAATTTATCGACTCAGATTATGTATGATCTTTATCAGGTATCCCAAGAACATAACGGCTAGGTTAAAGCTTTACGAAAGCTTCAACAGTTTTTAGTCGAATCGTGTATCTCATACTGTGATGCAGTATCGCCGAAGTCATTTACGGTAATTTCAGAAGTAGCATTCAAGACAATGGATGAAGAAAATCAAGGGATGAACGTAAACTGGTGCCAATAAAACCATCAGTGGTTTGAGGAAGGTATTCCGTTCCTCAGAGCATTTCCAGAAGGACTACAGAGAATAATCTCAATACATATCAACATCAAGGCGAACTTGAAAATGGATCTGAACAAGATTCGTGTGTTCAACTGATACATGAATTCATAAATGCACTAAGCTTGAACAGTGTCAGACTACGTCTATATTGGGCAGCTAATGTCTGTGAAAAAGAATCAACTCTAAGAAATCACCAAAGGAGCAAAATTATCATGCAAATAAATTTGGAACAATTAAGACGTTCCTATCTGAGAAAGTGCATATTTGTTTTAGACTGAAGGTCTTTAGATAGTGCATGCATCCAAAGCATAGAACCTACGTGCGAAAGTTGTTCAAAAACTAAAAACTAAGCAATGCAGCATGGAATGCTGTTTGACGGAAATAGCAAGAAAAAACGAGACGAACCATCAGATAAGTTTGCGCTGTCGCTGTATGAGCGAAAGGTCTGAAACAGCGATGAGCTGGTCAAGCTGCAAAACTAGGACCATCCCTGGAGCAATGGGATTGAGCAAGCAGACTGGGTTTTAAGAGGAAGCAACAGTTCTGTAGAAAAGCATCGACAAGATGAAATTAAGAACTGTGGAACAAAATGAATTTTCTGGCAAAATGTCAGAAATCGGTAGATCACAGCAGTAGGTCGCAAACGCCTCATGATATCGATATATACATATTAGGTAATCTTGCTATCTACGTACTCCAGATGAAAAATGTTATAAGGTATCAGCAAGATTATGTACAGATATTTGAACAAAAATCTGAGCTCATCAACATATTTAGTTTCTATTGCTATGAGAGAGAATACAATAGAGAATACAAGTTTTCTCTGGGTTTACACGAGCAGTCGCTGTCATCTTGCTCTTAGATACTTAAGGAGCTTCCGGAAGTACGAATGAAGAAGTATACCTGTGAAAAAAACCTGATCCACAGCAAAACCGACTGCTCTTAACTATTTCTCAATGGTAAATTATCTTTCAGATGAGCATTTTCACCGTAATAACCGCTTTTTAGAATCGTGCAATACTAAAAATGGCTATTGTTGAAATGTATACCGTTTTCTGCAACTCTCTGATGATGACTTCGCGCGATTTTCCCTGCAGCACCACCTGAGCCTAAAGCAAAATAAGATTACCAGAATCCAAATGAAAATACACGATTGATTAAAAACTTCGCAGAATGAAGCACAGAAAAACGTTTTTACGAAAATTATTAGTATTAAATAGTGTGCCTAGCAGACAACCATAAACGGTTTACGAACAGGGGAACGACCTTGAGACTTGATATTAGCTGCGAAAAATCAGCAGTCACAGACAAGCAGCAGTAAAATCACCAAGGTTTGGCTGGTTTCGAGGTCGACAGGTTCGATCCTCAGAGAAAGTTGAATATATTGCGATTGGATGCCCTGTCGAAAGCCGAAGTAGTATAAAACAGTGAAAAGATCAAAGACGTTGATAAGTACATTTACCTGGGCCATCAGATCAACATGTGGCAAGATCAGGCTATAAAGATTCAACGAAGAAAGGAGGCCGGTAGTGCGCGTTCTATGCCATCAACGACGTCCCCTTTGGCAACATCAGGAAAGAAACCCGGGCATCCCTCTCAAGTCTACCGTCCTGCCGGTAGTGTTGCACGGCTCTGAGAAGTGGTCACTGACGAAAGCTGAAGTTCGTCAACTACCTGTTACCGAGGGTGACACAGAAAGAAGAACGTTTGAAATCTCACGTCGCGACCCCATCCTCAACATGCTGATCAGACAGCAGACGGGAGTGAAGAAGTTGTTGTCGAAATCAGGAGGAAACAGCTACATTGGGCCAGGCGAAAATAGCTCGACCCATCGACAGAAGATGGTCGGCGATGATCGTCGACTGATTTCTTTGCGGGTGAATTAGGCACGTTTCTCGCCATCACGATGGTATGAACGCTGTATTATGAGATGGCCGCGTTTGGGAGGAGGGAGGTTCGAAACCTGAGGAATGGCCGGCACGTTGCGACCGCGGCGATTTGTCGCTGATTAATAACGGTTCAAATGATCAAGTGAATGGTATTAATCCCAAACTTTACTCTAGATAGTACTATCGATCTATTAAGTTGGTTTGGTACGAAAAAAAACGATAATTATCTATGCATTCATTCATTCAATAGGTGCTTCGAAAGATATCCCGGAAGAATCGAATTCGGGCGCAATTCAAAAGGTGCGCGAGCCGACCGTTCAACCGACCATCTCAACTTCTAACAACTGCTAGCTTACATCATCCTGATAAAGCCAACAAACGTAAATTAAATGACTTCGACAAAATCAACAGTCTTTTTTAGGGACAAGATACTCATGCTGTGGCCAAATTCTCGTTCTTCATAAAAGTTAATCATTACGAAACGCTAAGGATCCCAGCTACTTTGGTATGCAATTGCAATCGGATTTAAAGCTCCCTTTGACTCCATAGATGTGAAAAATCGCAAAATGCTGCCACACATGAGCACGTCTAATTCGTTTAAAGTCTGTTGCTGCGGTCAGAGTATATTTCCACTAAAAGTCTTTCTTGTCGAAAAACTCATAGCGCGGTCGCGACAAAGCAAGGCCGGGTTTCGACTACACCTTCGGCCATAACTGCTATAGAATCGTACATTGAGGGAATTTATGAATGTTGCAGAACAGGGCCGAAGCAGTCAACCACAGAATGAAAGAACCAGAACACGCTGTTTCGACTTTTGAAGATTGTGTGACAGCGCCCTGGTTGTTGTTGTCGAAAGATAGTATTTAACTGGTTGAACACTGACGGCGGGGTCCTCCAGGAAGAGGAACTTTCACCTTTAGTAATCAACCGTATTATCGACATTCTCCTTCGAAACACTGCCAATCAAAGAAAGACGAAGGCCACATTTTAAAAGTGAGGCACAGTTAAACAATTGGACCAAGCACTCTGCGAAACTGCAGAGCGAGGGGAATATTGCTATAACGAGTAGCAGGGAAAACGGGCTTTGCCATCTGACTGCTTCAATATGAAACAGTACTGTAAGTCGGTTTCCATTAACACTGACGTTAGTTAGGAATATTCCTCAGAAATACGAGATCTGCGAGCGTAAGTAATACGCGATGCAAATTACATCCCTTGCTGCAGTGAACATAACCGATCAGAGTAAATGTGCAGGCCAAATTCAGCATAACATCGCACGAAGATGAAGACATCAACACAGCAACT